GAGACGTATGCAATGAGATTTTGTAACAGAAGAAATAAACTCGTGTAGATTTATACTAAAAATAAGAAAAAGAAAAACAAATATTTACTGTCAAACAACGGTTTTGATAAATTAAAAAACAGAAAAAAGAGAAACAAATCCTTACACAAGCCGATTTTTTTGCCTATTCAGATTTGTCCAACAATTACTGTATATAGGATATATTTAATGATTTTGACGGGAAAAGTTTCTAATAAAAAGGTTATTCTTTTTATATAATGATAGATATAATAATTAGAAAATAGCTACAGTCCTATAACTGTCTTAGAGCATCTCCAATGCTATAAGTGTGAAAGACCATTATTTTTAACACATGTCAATTAGTGATTGTAATGTTAATCCGCATTGGAATAATGTTAAAAGACTAAAAATTTTAATGAAACTAGTATCTCCAATGCATCAATTTGATAAAAAGTTATTTGTATAGGTGGACCAATTAAATAATTCATTGATACAAAAAAAATAAAAAATTAAAACAAATATAAAGTAAATTGATGAGTCATCATGTTTAACATGGTGTTAGATATTAGAAAGTGTGCTCAACATTGTCAACATTAAATGACATCTACCTCATCATGAAAGAGTTCATGAGAACATGCATTGGAGAAAAAAATAGAGACACACTTTCAAAAGTTGATGATATGGATGACTTTTTATAATGTCAAAAATTGCATTGGAGATACTCTTATTCCGTTCCTTTATTCCTGTAGATAATAATAATTTATTACCTCAAGTCAAGCACTCTATATTAGAATTTTTATAAGTTATGTGTCAAAAAAGAAAGTGCACATGTTAATGTGATTTTTATGAATTAAATTCTTTAAATTTCCTCAGCTCATGTTATGACTTGGGTAGGTATCCTAATTTGCGTCTTCTACTTTTTCAAACTCTTTCCACTGCATGCGTGTATTGAATCCTCCCATGGAGACATGAAAACATAAATTAGGTTTAATTTCGAGACTAAGTAAGGTCTCATGTGTTGAACTCTGACTTGGTACATAAAGTGGACTCTATATTCTTGTAGTCTGTGACTTTCTCAGCCCATTTAGGGCCTTGTTTATACACAGGTTGGGGGTCCGACTTAAATCCCCACCCTCTTTTTAGGGTGCCGTTTTGAAAAAAAAAAATGGACAATTTGGTTGATACATTGTCAAACTATCACATGATATCAATGTTTCATGCATTTTTTCACTATTATCTAATTTGCACGTGCAATACATGTTATTGAATTGATTATTTTTTTTTAAGAAAAGAATTTATGAGAAATAAAAAAAATGTAAATGTTGGATCAACTACTCTGATCATAATAAATGACTTAATAACATTTGCACGGTTAGAATCGAACTATGGAACCGTTTCATGCGATGTTGCATATATAATAATTAGAAAATAGCTATAGTCCTGTAACTGTTATTCCGTTCCTTTATTCTAAATGGTTGGATATTCACAATTATTACTGGGATGTAGATATAGGGAAGTTATATATTAACTACACGCGTGGTGTAATCTAATTGGTTGAAATAATATAGAAACCATCCCGCTACGAGATGATAGTATTTTCCTAATAATTATTACGTACTTGTAGAGCATGGGTAACTTTTGGGGAGGTTTAAAAACCCCACTTTCAAAGTTTACCATCAAATTGCACAACTTTGAGGTTTATAAAATTTGTGAGTTTGACCCAACAAACGTCTTCAAAACTTTATAAAATAATAAAAAACAATAGTTGTAGGTAAGAGAGATAAAAGTGTATTATTCATTTAAAATAAAATAAAAACATGCCGGGCCCATTAGAAAGTAGATTTATGAGGTTTATTGTTATTGAAATATTTATATTTAAATTTATATGGATATACAGTAAATATATGAAATATTTAGCTTGAATTAAAATATAAAGTGGAGTTGTATTTTGTAAGATACTATTAAAAATATAAGAATAATATTAATTAAAAAATTATTTACATCGGTACGTAATTAAAACTCTATAATTATAAATAACGCAATATAATTACATATAACTATATTATTTTTTTATATGTATTTATGATAAATATATGAGTACAATGTTAATTAAAAGCAAGTGGAAAATTATAATTATATTACTTTTATATGTATTTTTTTTAAAAAAAAAAATAAGTTTATAATTCTAATATTAAAGTAAGTGAGAAAATAAATATGGACTTTATTTCATTTTTATGAGTGTAGAAATAAGAATGATATAGCAGGGAAAGTGTAAAAAGAAGTTTATGGAAATAAGAATGATGTAGTAGGGCCTCGTCTGTTGTGGTAGGTCTCCATCTTTTTCGGTGCCGATTCGCGACTTCAAGGTGGTGACTTCTCTGGTGGGTGGTGGTGGAGCCGTGGTGCTGTTCTAGGGGCGGGATGCGACTCAATTGCTTGGCGACCTTGTTGGTTGTGCGATTAGGGGTGTTGTTGCTGTTCGAAGTCGTCTCCCCTTTGTTCTCGGCTTTTGGGTCGAAGGGGTCGTCGCGTCCATTCTTCTGCCAGTGGTGTTGGTCGGAGTGGTGATGCGGCGGTGCGGTGGCTTTGGGCAGCTTCCAGGCGTTTTTGGGGTTGGGGCTAGGGTCTTTTGTCTGTTCGTGGCAATCGGGTATTGTGGCTGATGTTGTTCCGGGGCTAGGGCGTCGACACCGCTATACATCTGGCTGTGGGATTCACAGTCGTCTTGTTTCCGCTGGTTCAGTTAGGTGTCGCTACTTTGGAAGGGCTCGTTTAGTTTTGTTGCTTTTGTTTTGTTTGGTAGCTTAGTGTTTTTGTATGTTATGTAGGCTGTGTGGTTGTTGTGTTTTTGGTCTGGGCAGTTGGCCTCAGTTTGCCCGAGTGTAACTTTATTATCCTGTTGGGATCCTACACTCGGGTATGACCCTGTTGGGGTCTTTGTGTGTAGTTTTTAGTTGTTCCCGTGTTTTACCCTGTTGGGGTCGGTTATCTAGGCGGTCTTTTGACCTGTCCTTCCACTTTTTAGTTGTTGGTTGCTTGTATTCAACTGTTAACTGTTTGTATTCAGCTGGTGGCTGACCTTTTGCACATATGTGCGCGTTATATAACACCTCTATCGTTTCAGAAAAAAAAAAATGCTTTTACTATGAGAATCATACATATTCACNGATATCTTTTAGTTTGAAACCTACGTGAATAATGTACACGTGATTAAAATGAATTTTACCCCCAAATAGGGCTTGATAACCTCGAAAGTAAAAATTCTTCTTCATTTTTTTTATTATTCTTGTAGAAACAATGTTTGTATGGAATAATTTCAAATGATTCCAAAATATTAATAAAAAAAATCCTAAAGGATTTAAAAATTCACCATTTTTCAAACTTGATGAAAATTGAAATCCTATAGTTCTGATAGTAAATGAGAAATTGCTCAAATAGAAAGAGTGAAAATTGATTCTTGTTCACATGATATTTATACTGGTGTAAGTATAAGATTAATTTTGAAAAAAAGAATGGCTTCATTTAAAATGTTTCTGGTCAGTTAAAATTTAAATGATTGACATTTGAATTAAAAAAAAAAAAACTAATCTCTTTTCACTTTTTTCTGTTCAATGCCACCACCAAAATTCAAAAATAAAAAATTAAACATTCGTATATATTTACTATAAAATAATTAGTTTGGCAAGTGTTCCACAAACTAAATATTCTTGATGATTTTCTAATCATCCAAGCAATACATATTAAAAGAAAAGTTTTTTATCCTCTCTCTTATAACTCATACGTAGCCTCTGCGATGCACGGCGTGTGATCCCTGCAGTGATAATTATAAATTATATGTATTAAAGCAATAAAAGAATATTGATTAGCATAAATAGTTTTGAATATTAATATTAATTTTTCTAAAATAAATATAATAATTTAATATATGATTTAGATGTTTAATTCACTCATTGGTAGTTGTCATTTTAGAGTCCATGTTTATAATTAAGGATACTGAAAATTTAACATATTCAAATATTATCAATAAATAATACTCACATAATACTTCTATCTCTCTATCTTCCCTTATCCACATATCTATCTAATTCTTAAGCTCTTCACTTGATTTTGTATCATCGAAGAGCTTCTTCTCTCGTTGGAGAGTCCTTTCTCCCTTCCTTTTTGAAGGGTGTCTTCTCATTACAGATGCTTGATTCTCTAGTTCGGGTAGTTTGGAGCTCTCTCTAGTGCTTGAGGTCTCAGAAATTTCTTTGTAGGGTTTTCTATGGCGTGGAGCAATTCGCATAACCCAACAGAGAAAGTGGAACAGTGGTTGAGGGCTTTCTCTTTGTCGGTAGTGGAGGACCTGGTCATTGACTTAGGCTCGGTGGATGTTAAAGCTTGTGTCAAAGAATGCCATAAAAGATTATTTGGGAAAATAGTGGGTGACAATAGAACAAATTTGGTGGGTGTGAAAAAGGCTATGGGACTTATTTGCAGACTGAAATATTCTATGAAGGTAAGAGAATTAAGTGCAATTATTTTTCAATTTATCTTTGAAATCATGGAGGAGTTGAAGAAGATGGCAGGAGGTACTAATTGGATATTTGAGAACCAGTATCTAGTATTAAAAGGAAGGGTTGGGCATTTCTGATGATTGCTTTAATGAGCTTCGGTTTTGGGTACAAATCCATCATGTACCATTGAATTGGATAACATCTGAAGTTGGGCTGAAGATAGAGAAAGTGTTCAAATCAGTTTCTAATGTGCTGGTTAGCAATCTAGGCAATCAAGGGGGTAGGCTAATCAAACTCCTAATGACAATGGATATCAAAGAGGCCCTCCCTAGGTGTATAACTATTATATTGAGATCTCAGCTAGTCACATTCACATTTAAATATGTAAGACCAGTAAATCTTTGTTTCTACTGTGGGAAAGTGGGTCACAAAGAAAAAGCTGGTGGGCAACGGGTAGATGATATAACAAGACATACCCTAAAAGAGGGACAATTTTGAGAGTGGATGAGGACTTCAGAAGGATTGCAGAAGCAAAGTTGAAATAATGAAAGCTCATCTCTAGGACAAGCTAGAGAACCTCCTTCATCTCCGAGCAATGTCAATACTGCAGTGGAAGTAAATGCAGACCTGGTTAGAGGATCCCCTGGGCAGACTGTTAGCTCTGTACAAAAGGAAAGAACCTTACAGAGAGTGGAGTCCAGTTTCTCCAAACAAGTTGAAAGCTCTTCCTGAGAGGAACATTGTAATCTTTGAAGCTAAATCAACCTGTCATCCAATGGATTTGAATGGGAAAGAGGTAGTCAAGGGGGCTTCAATAGAGATTAAACAGAGAGAAAGGGAAAACATCATTCTAACTGATAAGAAAGAAATAACCCAAAAGGAACCAGAGGTTCCAGCCTTAGTAAAAAAGACTTGGAAGAGGAATTTACAGAAAAAAAAGGGTTACTCAGAAGCAGTGGAACTTCTATCTTGGAGGAAAAAAATCTGTTCTTCTAAGACACAAAAGCATCAGGAGGGGGATTGTGCAAACCTTGTTTAGTATTCAGATGGAGAAGATTGAGAAGAAACCTAAAGTACCTATGAGTCAGGTGGAGAAGGCCAACCTTAAGGAGCCATCAGAGCATTAATGAAGACTCTTAATGAAGGCTCTACAGTTTTCCAGATTAAGGAAGCCTTGAGGATCCATCATCCTACTTTTACCTTTAATTTTGAAGTTAAAAATCAAAAAAGTTTTCGAAACAAGTTTGCTACAAGTTGGGTTTTGTGGATAGACAACTTGTAGTGGAGCCATGAGGTACTAATGGTGGGCTTATTTTACTTTAGAACTATGATGTGGAGGTCTTAAAGATCTATAGTAAGCCTTTCTTCATAGCTGTACAGTTTAAGGAGTAAAATCAGGATGTTAACTGTTGGGCCATCTTTGTTTATCTCAGTACCTGCAAAACTGAGAGAGCAGTGCAATGGGAATAACTTTTACAAGAAAGAGCTACTTGGGGGGATGTTTGGTTCTTAGCTGGAGATCAGAATGATTTGTGTAAAGCTGAGGATGGTGGGACATGCAGACCAGCTGGGAGCTTCTAGGGCTTTAATAACTTCTTGGCTCAAATGGTAGTGCAGGAAATCCCCTTAAGAGGACTTCAGTACACATGGACAAATAATAAAGATAGAGAAGAATTTATGGAGGAACTTCTTGATAAAGTGTTTGTTTCCCTAGAGTGGACAGTAAAGTTTCCTGCTACAAAAAAGCTTAGGAGGTAACAACAAAAGGTACTACTTGTTGGGATCTGTGAGGATCTCATTAAGTACAAGTCACGAATTCAATAACAAACGTAAACCTATGCGTAGCAGATCCAAAAGTTTGACGTAGAAAACTTACGGATTAAATTTTTTTGAATCTGACAGATTCAGGTTGACCGAGAGCAACACGTGTCACGTTGGGGCTCGGCGGGTGTCACGCGGTGGCGGACAATACCGAGCGAGCGTCGCGGGGCTGCGGTGCAATCGCCGAGAGTCACAGGATGGTCGTCGTGTGGGGTGTGGCATGCGTACGGCTGGGCTGCGGCGTCCTGCGGTTGGTCGTCGTCGGCAGTCGGCGGCGGCTCATTGTGGTCAAGAGTGGTCCGTCGGGTTGAAAAATATATATTGATCACGGGGTCTCGGTTACCTCGGGATCTTCTACTGTTGATCTTAAACACCTCCTTATCTTGTACTGGTGGAACAACAAGATAAAGATTAAACTCAAACTGGCAACTGGAGAGAGAAAGAGAGAGAGAGGCATGTGATGATGATGATGAGATTATGATCTCTTGTTTTTTCCTTCCAATGAGCTTAATAATGTATATATAGAGCTACAATAGGGATTCTTAAGAGAATAGGAATAGAGCTTTTAATTAATTGACTAACTGTGGCCAAGCCCACTCTTCCAAATACTTAAATAATATTATGGTCCACTAGCATAATATTATTTCACTCTCTTTTCTTATCCCAAATTACATTTGAGACTTCAATTATAATTACTCAAATTACCTCCCCATGTTTAAGATATAATGTCCATTAATTAATTCAATTACTAATAATTAAGAATTAATTAATATATTTACAAAGCTAAGTCGTTCATTACATTATTATTATAGAGTAATTTAATCAATCTGCAGGGTTTAGCATAAAAACATTCATGACTTCACGTAAGGACATCATCAAACTGCCGCACATGGTAACCGTAAATATTCTAACAGCACATCGTACATATAATAATATTACCCAAAACAACAAGTATATTGACTCAGTAAACTAAACCTCACTTTCAGTGAATCAAAGTAATAATTACCATATGTACATGGCTGCTTATATCTTACGGGTTAAGAGAACACAGTAATTAACCGAGACTTAAGTTTGTTTATGATGATCAGTATAAAACAAATTGTTACTCTTTGGGATCCTGTTCAATACATAAATGTATTAGTACTACTAATCAGTCAAGATCAACCGTATAGTTGACACTACAACCGTTATGGTGGTTTTTTCATTTCCATCTACGTTTTGAACCAACAATTCTTGTTTTGCAAGTAACTGATAGAATGATCTTCTGTTCACTCGATGATGACCCATTCTATCTAAGTTCAGAACAACATAACACAGAACTTATTTAATCAAACATAATTCTCATTCAACAAAGATAAAGTGTGATATTATCCAAAGTCAAGCTTTCAGTATATAACACCAACACTACTATGTTTGTAGTAGAAGAGAATATCAAAAAAACAAAAGAAGCACTTCTGAACTGGAATAAATATTTTATGTCTGAGAATGCTTCTAAAATGAAAAGCTCTCTTTGAAATTAGAGGAGAGGAAACAGGAAGGGGGAGATAGGAATTGGGAGGCTTGGGATAAAATTCAAAAAGAACCGGATGAGGCCAACTGTTTTGAAGAGATCTTCTGGCAACAAAAGGCTAGAGCTTTGTGGCTTAAAGAATGAGATAAGAACTCAAAATTCTTCCATGCTTATATAGTCCAAATGAGGACAATGAATTCTATTGACAGACTGCTGACTGGGGGGAACAAACTAAGTGATAATCAGAAGAAGATTGAGAAGACTATTACTGATTCTTATGGAAAGCTCTTCACATCCCAAGGTTCAAAAAATGGCCATGATTTGTTGCCTCTCATTGCTAAATCAGTCATAGGTGATATGAACAGCCTCCTGATTGCTCCTGTGGATAAAGATGTTATTAAGAAAGCAATATTTAGTATTCATCCTGAAAAAGCCCCAGGGGAGGATGGCATGATAAGGCTATTCTACCAGCAGTTTTGGTTAATCATCAGTAGGGATGTCTGAACTGCAGTAAGGAGTTTCTTTGATTCAGGACAAATGTTGAGGTACTGGAAACACGCTCTGATTACCCTTGTTCCTAAATGTATTAATCATGTTTCAATCAGTCAATTCAGACCCATAAGTTTATGTGATGTGTTCTATAAAGTGATCTCTAAGATACTGGCCTTGAGATTCATACAGTGTACACATGTCTGTATTTCTGAGAACCAAACTGTCTTTCATATTGGTAGACAATTATTGAATAATGTGGTTATTGGGCATGAGGTGTTCCGATTTCTATATAGGTGTTGATGCATAAAAATGTCAACAACAATAATATGAGCCGCACACTACTTTATGTACTCAGTTCGGCCTGCACGAATAGAGATGTTCGTGGATGTTGAACCGAATAGGTGGTCTATTCGTGACTTTTGTATATATATCATTTATGAGAGGAATATTGTCTCTTACATTAAATGCTGCCTCTCTTTCTTTTTATAGGAAAATTGAGGTCTTGTTGCAATCTTTGTTCAGGATTTTTATTAGCATTTTCTTAACAGAGATATTCTAAGGATATTATGGCACATCAGCATTAAATACTTAGTACTTGTAAAGTTAATCTCGATACAGACAAAGATTCCTGCCCGCGACACGTGTCCTCATCGATCCTGCACCATAGGATCTTAAACTCTAGAGTCTCGTCACCATTAATGAGTATCGTACGGATGATCCAATTAAATGATTAGCGGTAATCGAACATCCGACATTTTCCAATTCGTTCGAACTTACCGCAATGATTTGTATTCGTCATACGTATGCAACTCGACTCTTCTTTTCTGGCAATGGTGAATACGAATTCGAATAGGTTGTCCTTAATATACCACATATTCCCGTTGTTCAATTTACAAATCGTTGCATAGGAATGGTAAGAACTATTTTATAGCCTTGAAGTTGGACATTGTGAAAACTTATGATATTTTGAAGTGGAAAGCTCTCCAGTTGACTAGGGGTGAGCATGGGTCGGTGCGGTTCAAAGATTGAGAAATCTCCAGAACCGTACCATGATTTGGAGATCACTAAATTCAATCTCTGGAACCCTACCAAAAAATCGAAACGGTTCAGTTCGGAGATTTTTATTTTTCAATTCGGTACGGTATGATATTCGAGACTATCGGAACGGTAAGGTTCAGTATGGGTCGGTTCAGATCTTCGGAATTTTCTTGTTTTTTTAAATTTTTTTTGAATGACTACCTAGTTATATTTTAATTTTGATATGCTTTAAAAAAACAACATGCATCAATACTTCATCGTATTGAATATTTTATTTTGAAATCAACTCTAGAAGTAACTCTAAATTTTGGTTAAGACAAAATTTGTGCAACTAATATTAAAAATTTAAAATTCAAATAAAATATAATATAATTTTTTTCTTGAAAAATATTCTTTAACCTTTCATACCATCTTAAATAATTGTTTATAACAGGAAAAATGCATTTGTAGATCAAGTATTACTAAGTATGAAATTTATGTGAAGCTTAATTGTTATTACTATTGCATTTTAAAAATTCTCAAATTATACAGGATCAAAGATGACATAAAATATATTAATAACACACATCTAATGGGTCCCAAGTCTTAGTTTATCTGCCTCTGGCGAAAAATCCTCTTTTCTCAAACCACCGAGTCTCTTCAATACTTGATCAGATCTGCCTTCCTTGGTGACAACGAGTTCGGGCTAGTGGTCACCTTGACCGCTCGGCCCACCCTCTAATGCTTATTTCGCCTCCGCCGTCGTTGTTCTGTCGTGGATGTCGGTCTTTGATGGTCGGGCCAGGGTTGTGGTCGGGTCTTATGGCGGTGAGCCCCAATCTGCCGATGGTTCTTCGATCTGTTGGCGATTGGCGACGTCTCTGCCGGAGAGTCTTCGATTGCCGGTGGATAGCCCTCGATCTGTTTTTAGGGTTTGTTAGTTGGCGGTCGGCTGCGCCTTCTGGTGGGGTTGTTGGGGTGGGACTCGGTTGAGCGGTGGTCTTGGGTGGTGCTTGACGGACGGTCTTGACTTCGGTGGTGACTTTCAGAGAGGGCCTCTGTACTTGGACTGCCAGGTCGGTTTAGGTATGTGGGGGTGAGCCTACCGATGGGCTGTTGATGGTATGCCGGTGGTCTTCGGGGTGCGGGGTGGATTGAGTGTCTTTTGGGGGTGGGGCGAGGCTCTCGCAGCTTTGACC